ACCGGTGTAACGGCATATGCTACTGTCGAGGCATGTGAATGGATTGTGGTCCTTTAGAAGCTCCGCTAGGTGTCTAATGGAAGGTAGTTTATTACGAAACTTGTAAAGGTACTTCACACAGTTCATTTACTGCTGCGTGATAGTTAAATAACACCTATAAAATGTCACGAAGACGTATGAGAATGTTCACTTTTTTATATGTGCATGAGATGTTTGCTTTCCTGTTCAGTTGTCTGTAAATGCTTATTTGGTGTTTCCTAATGAGCGACTACGCAGTAAAGAAGTTTTCATTACACCAATGGTAGCGGTAAATGTGTTTGTGGTTAAAGTGTTCTCCAAACTTTTCAGTACGATTTTTTAAACCTTTCTAACCAAAGAGGATTTACTAAAAAAACACAAGAATGAGGGAAATTTTGCGCTTCGTGGAAATATGCTTGAGATTTTTTTTTAAAGATTTTCGTAGTATCCGACGTAATAAATCTTCCGTTTGTGCTTGAAAAATGTCTGGTGACCCAAAAATTTGCTAATTTGATTTTCACAGAAGATACAAATGAATCACAATGAATCTCCTGGTAATGATGTTATACTTCCTGTTTTGACAAAGCACTTGGAAATCGTTGAACTTTTTGTCCGGGTAGATGACAAGTTACTTCGAGGTTCTAACCGCAAAAATTCCTTGGTGTACGTATGCAGAGACCTATGAAATGACGCCATCGCATTTTTGTCCAGTGTCAGCCTTCTCTAAGGCTGGTTTTTGAGGTAGCTGTATACTATCTTTACTGTACGAGGGAAAAGTGATACCCGACAGTAAGGACCAGAATCGAAGAAACAAAAAACCCCTTGCATGTATTCTCCCGTTGTCAGGATGGCCAGATTCCTAAAACAATTCCGAAAAAATAATAATAAGACAAATGGAAGCTTTTCAGCCTGACCTGCACTGGCAATCTCACGTCGAATGGCTCAAAGGTTGGGGTATCAGGAAGATCAGATTTCTGAAAATAACCCTAGAACGGTCGGAACCTACTGAGACCCTAAAACTCTACCAGAATCTCAACAGGAGAGCCAGCAAGCCTTCAGGCCAGTCAGCCATTCAATCAACTCAACAAAAGCCGGCGAGTGTTCAGGCACGCCACAGAAGCTTGACCGAATATGACCAGCGTTCAGAAATTTAATAGATTCACAGTAAATGTTGATGAGTGTGCGGAAACTGTATACTGTATGAGAAAAATGAGCCTAGTCTCGAGGGTGGGGCAGAAATACTGAACCACTGAACACTTAAGCTGATAATCGCGCTACGCATCCAAAAGTCAACTTTCACAATGGACATTGAATACAGACTGAAGGTCAGTGGCACACATCCGCTTCTTGTGTGTTAAGATTACAAAACTACTTGAAGTCGATCATTGGGTTCACACTTTATCTCCTGTTTCCTCATTTAAAATTCGGACAAGGTTCACTAATTTTGTTAGACAAGCACATTTATCAGGAACTGCCCAAGGTAGTTTTTCATTGACAGTGTTGAGTGGCTTTGGTAGAGACTCGAAATGTTCTCGGAAATTCTACTGAGGCTATCGTGTGGCAGCTGTGACTAGAAGTGTGGAGAGGTTTTTCATTCTGGAACATGTATTTCGATAACGTCAGCATACAAATGCTTTGGCAAGGCGCGCAATGACGACCTGTCCGCATGGAGCGAAAGATCGATGCATTTTTAAGTGCCTGACAATATGTTGCTCTTTTTTCCACCGGATGGCAAGACCAGAGCATAGAGGAATTCGACAGGAACCTGGTTTTAGGTATACCATCCATTTATTGGAATAGACAACAGTCCCACTAGACCCACTTAACTGAACATTACTACTACGCACATCGACTCAGAAACTTGTAAAATCAATTCTTACCCTTAGTCAATATCTTTGCTATAAACTTGCCGAAACGCACCCGCTCTAAGTCTATACCCAGCATAAGACCACAACGATAAGTCATACGAAAGCTCATGCTGTGCATTCCAGTAAACCGAAAACCAGTTCTCCACGAGAATTCATTAGTCAAGAGGTTCAGGTGTTCTTGAAATGCAAAGCTTGAAAATCCGGATTCAACTTGAAAACAATCTCCTAACCCAACACTAACCAACAAATGGGAATTCAGACTAACACCTACCACTCATCAAGTCGGCTAGCCTTAAGTGATCTCATCGATTGGGCCCATGACTGCCCTAGAATTCGGCCAAACTGGTAAGTTATTCATTTGGCCAGATGCACCTTTCGTGTCGAAAGCCAAATTTTGCCCGGCAGTAATTTCACTAAACCTCCGTGAAACGATCTTTTGGAACGACTTTCATTTCGGTCGAGTTAAGAGTCGTCTTCATCATCAGCTGTCTCATGAGATGGCAACTGAAGTGTGAGCTATTCAAACGAATTTCTAAGTGTATTTCGGAAGGTCCTCTTGGATGACAGCAGCGCACCGTTATCGTTCAACCGCTGAATGCAAGATATCAAATCAATGTCTCACGGCCCTTTACCGGTATTTATAAAATTCTGTAAATTATACCGAAGCTGCTGGCATACGTATTTGTATTCACAACGCCCCGTACAGGCACTGACACTCGGGTGGCCAGAAAATCATACCTTAACTGCACGTGATTCAAACACATTGTCAGTTCTGGAGAACACTTGAAACTTTTAATATTGATTTTTATATTGGTTGATCTCTCTCGATTGATTTGTAGTTCCCTGTATATATATATATATATATATATGCATATATATGCCGAAGATATCAAAACTTTTGCGCTTGTTAGAGA